CGTAGAGAGAGGTTGTCCAGTTTTAAAAAGATGTGTACAAAAAAATTGCACAAAAGCCTTGTCCTTTTGAAGGGTGGAGTTTCTTGTTATCGTGACTCAATTGAATATAAAACATTAATTAAGCAAAATGTTTCACCACAATGTTTTTCTATTCGCAATTTTGCATACAACACCCTGGAGATCTATTTCTTTGACACAAGCTCTTATTTTGTCATCTACCGGCAATTTCTTCGCTCGTATGACGGTTCTGACGGTAAATTTGGTAAAGCAACAGTATATATTAATTGATAAGACACGATGAAAGAGGAAATAGGCCCTTGTTGATAGAGTTTGTGAAAACAACTTTGTTCTGCGCCGAAGAAACAGTTTTTTGATAAAAATGGAATCTTGTTCGTAAGAACTAAAGTTTCCCCTAAATGTTACACAGCAGAAAATTTAATTCGGCTACCTATATAGAGAGAAAAACGCGGTCAAACAGATAGCCCTTCAGGTAATACAGGAATTCAACGTTGGATGAGGGGAAAATGGAAAGAGAGGTAGAGATTTAGTAAAACTAACATCATTGTTAATCATTGCTTTCCCCATTGATAAATTTTTTCCATCTGTTAATTTTGATTAATATACATTAACAAATTGTCTTTTTTCTGCGTCCATAATTGTTCCAGGAAAAGAAACTGGTGATCGAGGAAGCGTTCAAATCATTGTCACCCTTAAAACAATCGAAAAAGCCAATTCGCTTCTTTTTTTCACAAAAAAAAAAAGGTTTTAAACTCTACACTTACCACTAAACAAAGACGAAGTTTTTCCATGGTTTTTCTCTGCAAATGAATCTAGTTGACTGCTCTCTTGGTTCTCGATAACTTGGTTGGCAAGCGAGTCGGTGCATGAAGTACTTTCCAAAGAAGCCTCCTTTTATAAGATGGACAATCCATCTTACACTTGTTAACAAGCATGACACGTTAACCGACTTTTCCGCAACGAAGTCAAAGAAAACAACGGCTTTTTTGCAAGTCTATCTTTTAGCATTTAGTAAGAGAGAGAAAATGCCTTCCGTTGGCGATAAAAATGATACAAACGCCGGGGTTTTCTAAACGGAAGACGGCACGGAGGCCGCTCGTGGGATTTAATTGATGCTAAGTAAAGATTAGAGGAAACTTTACTGAGGACATTTTCATTACAAAGTGAAGACAGAATCAACCTGTGACCGGCTTTCTGCTATTTAACTCGAGATAAATTAAAGTAAAGAAGTCATTTCACATCTAAAAGGTATCTTTGCAACAAAGTGTGATTTCCTTAAAGAGCAAATGACAGTGAAAATAGTATTCTTTGTAGTAAAGTTGAGGTTTTGAATCTTAGGTCCCTCCTAGAAAACCGTTCCGTGTATGTGGGTGTATCTTTTAAGGATTAGGATGTACATGAGTTAAGAGCAACAAACAACACCTTCCCAACTGAGCAGGAAATCAGTGGAGTAAACAATGTAATTAGCAAAATAAAGCAAGCCATTCTTTTTCTACGAAAAATGAAGGTTTGTACTGAGACTGATTATCAACAGTGAAACAGTTATGAAAGTGAAAATGATACGAGTTTTCATACATTTCCATTCAAGTAAAACAGATGCAACATTCATGGCCTAAGGCTGTGCTCTGACGAAAATTGTATTAAGGCCAAAACTATGAAAATTTGAAATTCATAGTGTCTAACCTATTCGAAACTAATTTTGTGCAAACGCTGCTGATATTTCCTGTTTGCCGCAAGGGTAAACGTGATGATCCGTTCCACCAAAGCTTAATCAGTGCTAAATGCTGATTGGTTTAACACTGTTTAAAATAAATTGTTTTCCCTCTACCAAGTGCAGCTAGAAAACAGCCTGTTTTCTTAACATTCTCCATTAAAAGCAGTAAAACCTTGATATAAGGGCCAAGAGATTGGCAAAATACGTTCACTTAACAAGATTTCCTAATATCGAGGGGTTTTTTTTCCGTTTAAAGTCGAAACTCGCCTAAGCGGCCATCCAAAATGAGAAGGGTTTGAGGTCGCTTACGAGAGGTTCGTCTTTCCTTTAGTCCAGCCCGCCGCGACTGGCGCTAGCAAGAGATGCACGTGGTCGCACATGGAGGTTCGACTGTATTTATTTTATGAGGCGAAGATTATCGTTTTATCGAGCTTTCAACTGTATTTGTTTAGTCATCCGACAGACCAAGGGGTGAATTGAAGCGGTCAGAGCTTCTCCTCAACAAAGCTCAACAATTAAGATATAAAATGATTTATTGTATAAACACCAATGAAATACCAAGTTAGCTTTTGCGCGAAAGCTTGATATCTTCACATGTGAAAATAACATGTAAAGTATCACCATTGCTATGGCTTCATGATAAACTGCACCTTTCAGACCAAGAAACTATTTAAGTAAAATGGTTTGGCATGTCATTGGTGTTTATATAATAAATAGAATATTACATGGTCGCTTGAAGATACGAAATTTCTCTTCTCGAGTTGAAAAAAATATTTCACTCGTTCGCTGCGCTCACTCGTGAAATATTTAAAACCGAAGAGAAGAGAAATTTCGTATGTCCGCGTGGCCATGTAATATCCTCTATTTATGTAGCCCCATTGCACCTGGGCATTTTCAACGACACTGATTTCTAGCCCAAAAGGAATAAGAAATAGATAAAAGATTTTTAACATGACTGACTACATCTCACAACGATGTTAACATTAGCGGCGTCCAACAGTTTCAGCATGAGTTCTCAGAGACAATGTTGACTTAACCGACCTCAGGGATTGATAAGTATTCCCTTATTTTTTAAAACTTTTCTTTTCGCGTTTTGTTTTGTTCAAGTTTTAAAATCAACAACTAACCCGTTGAACTGGGCCAAGGGAATCCCGCCTAGTGATGGTTGACTCTTAACATAATCTTAAGTACTTATAAACAAATCTGAAAGTTCTCTGACTGTTTTAATTTAAGTTTTAAATCACACTTACAATAAGCGTCGCTTAACACAAAGGAGATAAGTGTTTCATGAAACGGGCCGTCTCGGCCGATTCATCCGTTTTTGAT